AGAGGTGATCCTCCCCCTCTATGTGGCACTGGTCAGGCCGCAGTTCGAGTACTGCGTCCAGTTCTGGGTGCCACACTTCAAGAGGGACGTGGACAGCATGGAGAGGGTCCAGAGGAGGGCCACTCGCATGATCAGGGGACAGCAGGGCAGGCCCTATGAGGAGAGGCTATGGGACCTGAACTTGTTCAGCCTCCAAAAGAGAAGGCTGAGGGGGGATCTGGTGGCCTGTTATAAACTAGTCAGGGGGGATCAGCAGGAATAACGGTCACAAGCTGGCAGAGGGTAGGTTTAGGTTAGATATCAGGAGGCGCTACTTCACAGTCAGGGCGGCTAGGGTCTGGAACCAACTTCCAAGAGAAGTGGTGCAGGCTCCTACCCTGGGGGTTTTTAAGAGGAGGTTAGATGAACACCTTGCTGGGGTCGTTTGACCCCACTACTCTTACCTGCCATGGCAGGGGTCGGACTAGATGATCTACTCAGGTCCCTTCCAACCCTAGAAACTATGAAACTATGAAAAGCAGCAGTACAGACAGCCCTGGGAGGGCACTCACCCTGGGAAAATGCTCTTCCATCCCACCATTCAACTCACTGGCAGGAGTGAGGCATTCTCTCAAGGTGGAAACCCTCCCAGTTCTCCCCAGAAGGAGAATGATCCTTGATCCTTGCACACCTCTGGGCTGCTCTGAAGGAGTGCAGGGAGGGTGTGCATATGTGGGAATTCAGACACTGTGGCAGAGGCATGGCAGCCTGCCTCACCCCACAATTTTCCAAGCTGGTCCTGAGCAGTGCAGTAGGGTTGCAATTAACAATCCAGCAGCTGGAAGCAGGACTTGGGAAAAACCTTGTCAACATAGGTCCTGCTCCTGACTCCACCTGGCTTCCCTGTCACCCAGCAGAATGGTGGGGTGGTGATTTAACAGTTGGTGACTGGAAGCAGGGTCCTCGAGTCCTGCTCCCAAGCCTGTACCCTTGTGGTGATTCTCCCAGTAGAAATTGAATGTCTGTACCTGATCCACATCAGAAGCAGCAAAAGCCTGGACAACATAACAGATTTCCGTTTCATCTCAAATACACTCCAACCATGGCTTCATTTAGTTTATTCATTGTTACGTCTCTAGACAATGCTACTTAGAGGCTAAAAACCTTACCTCCCAGGTAATCACCAAATTATCAGGTTCCGAGCCAATCCCTTGAATGCCAGAAGGATTTTCATCTGGGTCTAGAAGTTAAATATTTCCATATGAATATTCTTTGAATTCTGGATAATTCAAAGCCATCTAAAGAATACAATGATTACTGATAAATTATAATATTTACTTACTTGCAGCTTTTGTCAGGTATTGTTCAGATGGTTCGCTTGGCTGACTTCTACCAATCTCATTGACAGCTACAACTCGAAATGAATAGTTAACATATGGCGATAGCTTTAATTGTGCAGTTGTCTGAGTTCCAGGAACTTCCGTCTGGTAATGCCATACCCCTGGTTCATGCATTACATCTTCATATTCAATGACAAAATCTACCAACAACAATTAAATTATGTCAAAATTATGAAATTATCTGAAGGCAGTAATACATTTTTATTAACCCCCACTTCCAACTCCCTCCCCGAAATTAAATAAGAGATCCTAACAAAAACCAGTATCTCAAGCGTGGTTCTCAAAAGCAGCCCATGCAGAGAAATGTAAAGGACACTTTATATTATTTATTTGGCATACCTATTAATGCCATATAAATAATTATTTATAGATTCTTATTGATATAGTATATTATCTTATTAACATGCTTTTATTGTGACTGTTTCTGGTGCTTGAATATCAGTGCAGTGGTACCTTAGAAATATCATAGTAATAAAAATCTTCAGGCGTAACAGAAAAGGCAGAGAGACTCCTGTCTGCTGTCATGAACAAGGAACCTGCCTGGTTTGAGCCATTTATAGGTGTGTAGGATAAGGGAAAGGTCTGAAGCAAAGGGTGGAAATGTTTTCCAGTGGGGGGCCAGAATGACCCAGCTCAGATCTGGTGCAGACCAGCACTAGGATCTGGCCACTATCTCCTATTCCCCCCTCCACACAGCTACAGCCCACAAGCAAAGCTCCCTGTTGCCACATGTCATGGAAACCATCATGTCTCCACATCCAAAGCTCCAGGGGCTAGATATGGCACATGGACCATACATTGCTGACTCTTGGTCTAAAGCATTTTGCTTCATATTTGTCTTTAATTTTTATATGTTACCTGAATTCAACGAACTTTCAAATGACTATCTGTTGTCTGACAATGTTTTACATAACTTTAGTTAAATTTTGGGATAAAGGCCAGTATGTGGCTCAGACTATGACTACTTTGCACTACTGAAACAGTGCAAAAGGTCTCATATGCTATTCCCCTGGGGGAAGTGAGTACTGCCCTTTATAAGGAAATGTCTGACTACTGGAATCCAGCAGAGCTGCTATCACTGTCAAACCTGTATGGAAGGGGTATATCACAGGCACAGAGAAAAGGAAAAAGTATTCTGATGATGACTGACTCCCATAAGGATCCCATTGGTCTGTTACAGGTGGTATAAAGAAGCCCTCAAGTATTAGCCCTAACCATTTAGAGAGATTGATAAAACAGAAAGTCAGCCACCTTAACATCCACCCTCATGTGCTATATGAAACAGAGCCCCACGGGAACTAGGGACTGAGACAAGAAATGTCCAAATAAGAGAACATGGTGATTAGGAACCGTCAGCATGGATTCACCAGGGACAAGTCATGCTGGACTTGCCTGATTGCATTCTATGACAAAGTGACTGGCTCTGTGGATGACGGGAGACCAGTGGATGTGGTGTACCTTGATTTTAGCAAGGCTTTTGATAGTCTCCCACAAAATTCTCTCAGGCAAGCAAAGGAAGTATGGGCTGGATGAATGGATTGTAAAGTGGATAGAAAACTGGCTGGAGCATCGGGCTCTGAGAGTAGTAATCAATGGCTCAATGTCTAGCTGACAGCTGGTACCCAGTGGAGTGCCTCATGGGTCATTTTTGTTCAAGGTCTTCATGAAAGACCTGGAAGACAGCATACAGTGCACCTGCACCCTCAGTAAGTTTGCAGATGACACCAAGCAGGGGGGAGTAGTAGATATGCTGGAGGGTAGAGCTAGGATTCAGACCTAGAGAAATTGCAGGACTGGGCCAAAAGGAATCTCATCAGGTTCAACAAGGAGAAGTGCAAATTCCTGCACTTAGCACGGAACAATCCCATGCACCACTACAGGCTGGGAGGTGACTGGCTGGGCATCAGCTTTGCAGAAAAGGACCTGGGGTTTACAGTGAACAAAAAGCTGAATATGAGCCAGTAGCGTGCTGTTGTTGCCAAGAAGGTCAAAGGCATACTGGGCTGCACTGGTAGGTGTCTTGCCAGTAGGTCAAAGGAAGTGATTATCCCCCTCTATTCAGCACTGGTGAGGCCACATCTGGAGTACTGTGTTCAGTTTTGGGTCCCCCACAACAGAAAGGATGTGGATAAATTGGAGAGAGTCCAGCAGAGGGCAACAAAAATGGTGAGGGGGCTGGGGGACATCACTTATGAGGAAAGACTGAAGGAACTGGACTTATTTATGCTAGAGAAGAGGAGACAGAGAGGATTTAATAGCAGCCTTCAACTACCTGAAGGGGAGGTTGAAAGAGAAAGGAGCTAGACCAGGGGTGTGCAAAATATGGCCTGTGGGCAGAATCTGGCCCGTGAGGCCATTCTATCCAACCCGCAGGGCCCCTAAAAAATTTAGAAAATTAATATTTATCTGCCAAAAATGACAGGAGCTAGGGGGCAGTAGGACCCAGGGGAAGCCCTGTGGGCTCCTGCAACAGCACGGCCCATCCCGTCACGCCCCCCCCAGCCAGAAGCCGCAGCTGGTCCGGGACTATGTGGCTGCACCAGCATCGGAAACTCAGGTAAGGGCAGGAGGGTGGGGAGGGGGAAGGGCAGGGAAGCAGCCTAGGAAAAAGCAGCCAGGGGAAAAGTGGCCCCTCCCCTGTCCCATGACCAGCGCTCCCTGCTGCAGTTGCTCGCAGCCAGCGTAGGGCTGTCCTGAGCAGGGAGAGGCAGTCCCATGTGGGCTGCAAGCAGCTGCAGCATGGGGCACAGGGCACGGGGCAGGTGAGGGGCCACTTTTCACTGCACTCAGCACCAGCTTGTAATCCACCCCTTCAGCCAGCCTGGGCCTCATGCTAGCTTTGTCCGTCGGAGCTGTGCCACGGTTGGAGAAGCTGTTCAGTGTGGAGGAAAGTGGCCCCCCTGCATGCCATGCTGGACAGTGTTTGCCATCGCCGCCTCTGTGCTGGCCAGCACATGAGCTCTGGGTGGGTGGCAGCAGCAAACACTACACCGGCGCGGCAAGCGGGGGCACTGCTTTCCTCCACACCGAGCAGCTGCTCCTGCCCCAACAGGTGAGCCCGAAGCCAACGTAGGGCCCAGGCTGGCAGTGAGGGCAGGTTACAAGCTGGTGCTGAGCGCAGGGAAAAGTGGCCCCTCGCCTGCCCCGTGGCTGGCGCCCTGCACTGCAGCCGCTTGCAGCCCGCATGGGGCTACCTGTGCCTGCTCAGGGCAGCCCCATGCTGCAGCAGGGAGCACTGGCCATGGGGTGGAGGGGCCCCTTTTCCCCATGCTCAGCACCAGCTCATTCCCTACCAGTGAGCAGGGGGTCAGGGCTACCCCTTTCCTGTAGCGTGGGGCTGGGGGGCACTGAGATTGAGTGGGTTCATGGGGCCTGCACCAGTGTGTCCCAGGGCCAGAACCAGCAAGACACAGAGCAGGGCAGCAGGGTACAGGGTCCTGGCTGACAGGGGCTCTATGGAGCTGGGCCAGCTCTTCCCTCTCACTGCTAGTGTAGCCCAACCCCTGCCAGCCTGTGCCCTGCTCTGGGCCCCACCAGTGTTGGCCCTGAGACATTGGTTCCAAGACATTGGGACATTGGTCCCAAGATGGTGTCCAGGAGACGGGGCACCTGTGAAGGGGTGGGGCTATCTATGCAGCCCTCAACAGCTTGTCAAAACTGGATAACCAGCCCTAAGCCCGAAATAATTGTCTGCCCCGAGCTAGACTGTTCTCAGTGGTGGCAGATGACAGGACAAGAAGCAAGTCTCAAGTTGCAGCAAGGAAAGTTTAGGTTAGGTATTAGGAAGAATTTTCTCATTAGAAGGGTAGTAAAACACTTGAACAGGTTACCTGGAGAGGTGGTGGAAGCTCCATCCTTGGAGGTTTTCAATGACCTCCTGAGGTCCCTTCCAACCTTAACTTTCCATGATTTTATGATTTGGAGGTTATTATTAATATAGTGGTTATGCCTAAAAACATGGAGCCATTGCCTGACAGAATTAATAGACTAAAGACAGACAATCA